CCATTGCTTTACTAGCATAGACAGTATTCCCATTTTCATTTTCTCCTCCTCAGTTAACCAAATCTTTATGAAATTTAGCATCTTCATTAATTTTTTAATACTCACTGTTATTATATACATGATTGCCTACATCATAAAGTTTATTTTAGATTGAACATATTATGAAGAATTCAGATAAAAGAATTTGGAAAAAGGCATTTCCTTTGTGCCTTGTTTCAAAAAAGGGGTGTGGTTTTTCTGTGTTACTTAGGATGCTACTGGTCTCAAGCTCTCTACACCAAAATTGCTATTTAATGTTGTTCTCTCAGGTCATCTTCAAAGCATCTGTAGACCTAAATCCAAGATTACCAAGAGAGTTGTTAGAGTTTGTTAAATATGTATGATTTATGTTTCCTTTATAAAGTTGATCCAGAATCTAATGACAGTGACCAATTGATTTCTAAATYCCTTTTAACTGTTTTCCAAATCAACAATAACTATAGGCCAAGAAACAATGTGACATGGAAATAGTACAATTCTCTAGCCAAAACTAAAGCTATCTGGTGAGAACTGTGTACCTCTATTGTAATCAGTTGGATATTTTCCATATCTTGAGGCAGAATGGACCCCAGCTGGGTGACAACATTAATACAAGTGGCAGGAGGAACTCATAACATTTAAAATGAACTGTTTTTTAAAATACATAGTCATCAGATACATCTTGGTAAAATGTGGTTAGAGCTGTTATGTCAGCTTTCTCACTTACTTCAAAAAGTGCGATGTGTTCTCCATCTGTTTTCGCAATCCTGAGCTAACTAGCTACATTTAGGATGTGTTCTTACTTAGGGCCACTCTTTTATGAAGGTGTGCCATAAAAGCATCCAGGTGTCAGCAACCTGCCCAAATGGTTCCCATTAAGCCTGCTTGGAGGTGATGACATTTCAAATGTCACAACACCTCTCAGAGCTGCTAATTGCATTAAATTCTAAAATAACTGTATGCTTTGTACTCTACACCCAGATGCCATGGAATTAGCAAACTGACTGAGCAAACATAAAATCTTATCAGCATGCACCTTCTAAAATGTTTTTTTCTGCTCAGAAAAATCTAAATAGGTCAATCTGTTTCATTTAGAAACAATCAAAACTATAGTTGGGCTTTTCAGTTTTTTCCCCCCTTTTTTGAGTACTAGGCATTAAACTCAGGGTCACTCAACCACTGAGCCACATCCCCAGCCCTTTTTTTGTATTTTATTTAGAAACAGGGTCTCACTGAGTTGCTTAGCTCTTCGCTAAATTGCTGAGCACTGGCTTTGAACTCATGATCCTCCTGTCTCAGCCTCCTGAGCCACTGGGATTACAGGCGTGCACCACCTTGACAGAACTTTCAGCTTTTATTAGTCATAAGTTTTAAAGTCTGGCAAATCTCATTAGGTCAATTCTAAAGAATATGAACTTACACATTTTCTGTTAATTATTTTCAAAATCCTTCATTCAGACTTATGGGTAATAATCAAAAGGTTTCAGGAGAGTCTATGTTATTATATTTAGGTGGGTGACAGCCATACCCAAGGGCCATGTTGATTGCAGAAATGACTTCAACCAAGAGAGAAAACAAAATGTTAAGTGACAAGATAAAAATCCAAAGAATAACAGACTTAGAGATTATGAATGTAATAAAGGGGACATTTTATGTTAATAAATGTGAAGTCTTGGACTTAGTCCCAAACACTAATTTCTCAAATACAGAATAGGGAAAGGAGACACACCTGTGAGCTCAGTGGAGGGTTAAGACACATGCATCCTCAATAAAACAATGTGATCTTGAAGGGAATTAATATTGTATTTAAGATTAAGAAAACTCTGTCCTTCTCTGCTGTGGCTGGTCAGAACACACCTAGAAAGCTGTATTCAGTTTTAAGCATCAGCTTTAAAGAGCGCTGGAGTGTGTCTACAGGAAGGTGAAGGAGTCTTGGAGCTCTGTCACAATATGGACATCCAGAGAAGCTGGAAATATGCAAATTGAGAGAATAGACCCAGAAGTCCATGGCTGCTCTGAATACCTGCAGCAGTGTCATGAAAATGGATTGGATTTGTACTGGCTGGCTCTAAAGATAAAAGACAGAACCATCAATGGAAAATGAAGAGGGACATGATTTTAATGTTACTTAAAGAACTTCTACTTTGTCTCATATTAATAATGCAGGGTTGCCACTGCGGGTAACAAGTTCAGTACTGTAATGTTTGACAGTACTGTAATGCCTGACTACCCAACTGAATTCTCTGTAGTGGAGAATTTGACCTATGGATGGAAGTGGGGTGGAATAGATAATATTTAAGGTCCATTCCAGTCCCTCAACTTCTTCAAACCCATAAATGGTCATGGTTATCATCTTGGAAAACCATGTAGTATTCACCACCTTCCCTGGGAAAAAGAAGAAATAAGACCATTAGAAGTTTAATAAAGGTATTTTACTCTATTTGATCCCAATAATCAAAACAGGAACTTTCCAGAGTACTCCGGTTATAAGTGAATACATTTTTCTCTGGAAACTGTCAGTTATCTGCTGCCTTCAGACAGCAGGAAATCTGAAATGACCCAGGGTTCATTTTCAAAAGCTCACAACTAAAGTTGAAAATAAGCAATTGTCAACATAAACAAACTTGTGTTAACTCTACTTTTTTTTTTCCTAAACAGAAGCTAAAAACATTGAGGGTTTTTTTTATTCATGTGGCAGAGAAAACACAGCTGGCATAGTGGCAAGCATTCAGGGCAACCAACATTGGGTGATACTGCTGAAAGTGAAATTCACTGGGTTCATTGGGTGATAAGGCAGTTTAGTGAACAATACATTTATAAAATGCTACAGTTTAAAAGATGTTTTCATGTACTTTGGGTCAGAGTTGTGTACTGAGTACCTGATGTACTTATTAAAAGAACAAGCTTTTGGAACTGAGTATATAAATCGTGGGCATATTTGCTAGGAAACACACTACTGGTCTGTTAGTTTTGGGTGCTTGATGAAAGAATGTGTCTTTGTATTCTAAAATTTAAAACGCTACATGACAAGGCAGCACCTGCCACCCCAACCCACAATGTGTCTACATAATTAAACACCATTTGTGATGCCGCTGGGAGAAATTCAAGGAGCAGAGAGCCCAGAAGAGAAGGCCTCCATGCTAGACATTTCATGAGTGTTTTTGTGATCTGCAGTGGCACCGGGAGATAAAGGATCTCACTGTTCTGGAAAACACATACCTTCCCCTCAAATGTGGTCATGTTAATGTTTATTTTCCCCAGTAATCAACATACTAAATGTGCCTTGTCTCAACCTCCTGTCCTAGTAATATAAATTCAAGGTTTTCAGAAACAGACATTCATGGAAGTCAGCAGAGCATGGCGTAGAAGCTTGTATGTTTACAGTCCCTCCGACAAAATGGGTTATGAATCCACAGTGAGTGTCACACTAAAACAAACTGTTTTGAGGCTAGGATCTGAATTCTCTTTCTAGCCTAACATATGCCAAATTGGTGCTACCGTTCACCCAGGGAAGCTGGATGAGAGAAGATGGTTAAAAAAGAAACCAGTTCAAGTCGTCAGGCTTATTGATGGGGGATTTTGATGATCCTGGAAAATAAGGGGCATAGCATACAAATTTTATGATACTTAGGGATGTATATGAGTCGTGGCAAAAATTCTAGAATATTCTATAGGGAAACAGAGGCATGGCATTGTTAATTATTAAATTTCATCCCAATCATGTCAACTGTCAGTGTTGATGAACTCATTCCATGGGATTGCTCATCTTTCTCACACTCGGGAGAATATTTTGTGGTGCTTGATTCAGATGGCCCCTCAATGATTTAGGAAGCATTTCCTCAACTACATCAATCTCTTGTATGAAAACTAAAATTATTTAATTTACTCTGCAGGAGACATTTGGGTATAATGGACTATATAAAACCTCTCTTAACCCTTTACTTTGTGTACAATTAAGGCTGGATGGAAGGGGGAGGAGGTTGAAGGGAAGCAGGTAAGCAGAGGAAAAGTAGGTCAAGTTTGCTTCTTGTCCCCTCTTCAAATCAATTCAACTACAGATGCTCTTTCCCTTCTCTCTGCTCCACAGACAGCCGGCACCATGAGCCAAAGCCGCCCCCTCACCGCCTCCTGCTCCCATCAGGCCAATCAAGTGGATAAACCCAGGGAAACAGAAGGAAGATCATTTAGGACGAGCTGTATTCACTATTTAGAAATAGCATGGCAATGTGAAAGGAATAGAGGCAGAGATGGAAACATTCACTGTTAAAGCACTGCCCCCTAGCCAATCCTAATATTCAATACCTGGTTTTATTTTGTCTTGAGCTCTCTAATATAATGGTTACCCTGTTTGCTTTCAGGGGCCTTGAGTCAAAACCCATCAAAACTACAAGGGAATCACCAGGCCTAGGTTTTTATTCTTGTTTCTAACCTCAGACATAGTATGTACATTGAACAAACATTGATCACCTATTGAAGGCTTGTGTCTTTATCTCAAAGTGGAATTAACAAACCCCACTCTTTTGCCTTTCTCCTAAAGTCACAGTAGCCTGAAATCTTTATTATTTTATTTTATTTTAGGATATTTCATTTAAAAACTGAAGAGTTTTCTTTTTTCCTATTGTAAGAATAGAAAAAACAGTGGATACGATCAGAATGGTATTATATTTAATCCCATTTGCCACCAGACTGTGTAAGACTGAGGTGAGAGGCTTAATATCTGCCAAACCCAAACTGTGAGCTAAAGGATGATAATTTTGAGAAAAAAGAGAGACATCTTGGACCCTCCAGGTTTACAATGATCAGCCTGATGAGTCAACACAACGTGGGGGGGGGGTGGAGGTGCGGTCCTGTGTTCCAAATGTGAAGACCAAGCCTCCCTGAGCATAGGTGAAGCTCTCTCCTGAGATTCTGGGCTGGGTGTAGCACGTGGAGATCGGTCCCTCTGACCCAGTGTTTTTATCTTCTGTTTTGTTCCCTTGCAGAGCTCTCAGCATGGTGGCTCTTCTACTTCACTGGCATCCACCAAAGTCTGCAGCTCAATGGATGAGAACGATGGCCCTGGGGAAGGTGATGAGCTTGGGACTTGGTATCTGAGGAGAAGGCCCAGCTTTTATAGGGGCAGAGGAATGGGTTGGCAGAATTAACTCTGAAAAACTGTTAACAGCTCAAGCAGAAGGAAAAGGACCAACCCAAGCAGTTCTCGAGGGTCCATGATAAGGGGCTGGGATGGAACACAGCTCCCACAAGGGAGTGGGATGGACTCCTTAGAATGGGAAGAGTTGGCCTCAGCTGGACACATTTCCCTTTCTCTGAGAGTGGGCATTTCCTAGGAAGGACAGCTGTTGCCTGCTTGGGAAATAATAGAGGGTAACTGCTGYCCTTGTGTTCCCAAACTCTGTTCTCTTTTCATGCATTGGAGGCTATTGGCTCTCTTGACTATTACAGCCACAGAAGTGCTCTCATGAACGTGAACTCAATGTATGAAACCATGGTTTCACAGAAAGAATTAGAGATGATTGCAAACAATACTTTCTATCCGTTAAGCTAATTCAGTTTTTAGATTTTCAATGTGAGGTCGTCGAGTGACCTGGATCCCAGAATCAACTTTTTCACTAACTCACTGGATGGTTTGGGGCAAGCCTCTTCAACTGTCCATAATAGAGTTCTTCTTCTGTAAAATGGGATGGTAAAATACATACCTATTTCCTCCCTTGTGGTTGTTATCAGCTCAAATTGACTAGGGAAAAGTGTTTAAAAAAAGCGTTCTGATCAAGCCACTCTTAAAAAATCAGCTCCTCTTACTTGGTATTTCCTCAAATGCCCTGTGGGGGAGGCACTTTTATTGTGACAAGAGAGTGAGACTCTGGGATTTACATCATTTCCTTATAGACTGACAATATAATTCAATATAATTCATAATTCAAATCTGGTTCTGAGCTTCCTGGTGAAATGTATCTGAGAAGATCTCAGTACTTTGAAATTCTCGTTTTAAAATGAAATATTCCTACTTTAGTATTTCTCAGTCTTTAATATACACATTTTGTTGTGAATCTCTAAGAGGGAGATGTATCTTTCAACTGCTTAAGAATGATCTAARCATATTATCATTTACTTCAGGCACATGTAGGTGTGAGAAACTAAGGGTCTTGGAAATGAAGACTTATGACAATAATATTTTTATAATATTTCATGAAAAGTAAAATAAAATCACTGCTTTCTCTAACAAAAGCAAAGTCAGCATATGCTTTTAAAATGTATTATATCTTGTTAACTAAAAGCCTTATTTTTATTTMTTATTAGTCTTGTTTTGAGTGGAAGTAAAATGGCAATTTTTTATATTTAAATGAAACTGAAAGACATTGTTCTCTTAAATACTCAAGCCTTTTCATCAGTCTTTCTTCCCTAGAGACAACAATATATATTTTTACCTGAACTCTAAATCATCATTGCAATTTAATTTCTAGGTTTTATTATGTTGGGAATCTTTCTAAAGTATTTTTCATAAAGCTTGCTTTATTTCACACACACACACAAACACATACAGAATTATTTCCTGGCTACCATGCAAAATCAGACTTTTTGGCGCTACCATGTCTATAGCTCAGCCACCTAGAAGTCTCTTTTGTTCTGATGTGTTTTATTTGCCTAATGAAATGAAATGGTCTTCGAGTAAGCCTTTGGCTGAGCCTTCTTGGCCAAAAGCCTAAAAAGTACCTTTTATCAATAATCAGGGAAAAAAAATCCCAAGCCCTGCCTTTGAATGGGTGYCCTGTGGATGCTCCCATGGGAAGGAAGGGTCAAAGTATCTCTTTCCATTTCCTGTCTACAGGGCAAACCTGTCGCAACAGCCAAGGATGATCACTTTTATTACCAAAATACTATAACAGCTTCAAGGCTGTCACTTGGGAGATTTTTTTTTTTTTTTTTGTAAATTCAGGTGCTTTGCAGTGAATTTAAAACACCCTCAGCCATCTCCTTTCATTCCTATGGAATAGACCAAAAAAAAAAAAAAAAATCCCTAGACTGACTCCTTCACAGGCAAAATCATGGCTTCTTTCCCAGGCAGGATAAGGGAGAGGGCGTTGGCTCCAGCCCTCACTTTATTCTGGAGATCATCTAGATGGCTTCTAGTAGCTTCACCAATAAAGATATGAAGAGGCTTATGAATATCCACAGCAATAGCAGCAGTGATTACAAATGTCCTAYATTTAGATGATTTCCAGAAATTCCACCCACTCTAAAGCCCAGAGTGGTACCAGCATAAAGGTCCTAAAGTAGGCTTTCAGTGGTTTGTCATTCCCCAACAATAACCAAATGTGATATGCAAAAATTACTAGAAAGCTCCCTGGCCACCTAAAGTTTGCAATTCATTTTGAGAAGAAATATTTAGTCTCACTTAAGGTCAAAYGAGGAGCACATTTAGAAAACCTGCTAGGCTTCCATCCCTTTTTGCATTCAAGATGCCTGGGGGAAAGCTAGGATTTATAACTTTAAAGCATGTAAATTTTAGAGCCCAGCTATAAAAGGCTTTTTACACCCCTAACATGTTAAAGGTTATCCAGTATATTTATGTGACCTAAGCATGGCTTATTTAGTTTTATGGCCTTGGATATTTAAAGCATTATTAGGCATTTGTAAAATATTTCAAAATGCATTTTCAGGGGGAAAATGCGTTGTGTTAGTGGCACTAACATAATTGAAAGTACAAAACTGTTCTGTTCACAGACATAATAGATAGGGCCATTTCAACTCAACATCTGCTATGCAGGTTGCTAGCAAGAACATTTGTTTAAAACCTGCTCGTTGATACTGGGGAAGGGTGGCAATCAATGCTTAGTTCATAAGGAATTTTACGGAGATCTCCATTTCAGGATGTAGTAAAACCAAGTGTCCAAACAGGAGGCGTTTTTCCTGCTGGTACCATGTCAAGCAGTCAGTCCAGAGACCCTTCAGAACTGCATTTTTCTCTGCGCCATATGGAGCAATGTTATTTCTCCATGCTCAGCAGATATTGAGTAAATGCTATTGATCAAACTGGCATGAAGTTTAAAAAAAAAAATGAAACTTCCTCAGAATCCTCACTGCAAGTACTTACACGGGTGGAGGTGAACCCCATACGTTTCCTTTTAGTTTATCATTTGTCTTAGTGAAAACTGTTGAGTATATACAACATCTGCCTCACGTACAGAAAATGACATATTGAGTCTGAATCAGTTCCACTCTAATTAGATGATACTTCTAAATGTCCCCTTTGTGCAACATCTGTGTCCCCTTTTCTACCAATAAAAACATATTAATGATTCTTTTCAGAAGTGTTGGAGGAAGGCTTCCAGATTCCAGCCACAATAGCAGAACGATATAAAGTCGGAAGGACAATAGGAGATGGAAATTTTGCCGTTGTCAAGGAATGTGTAGAAAGGTGAGAAGAATATCACGTGTGTAAAACTTGAAAGGAAACATTTGGCATTATTTTCCCAGGTTGTATCTCTATCTATAGTCTGTGACCCATATGGAATAAGTTAATGTCTCGACCCCAGATGCAAAAAAAAAAAAAAAAAAATTAAAGAGAAACTATTTAACAATGAACTTGAAAAATGTAGTGATTTCTGGGGGTGATCTGTGAATTAACTGTGAATTAAGGACTTTGATTTTTTTTTTTTAATGTACTGGGTAAAACTTTGCCAGGTCTTTCAGGTAAGTTTCTACTTTGTTTAAAATATATATATATATATATTGAATAGTTTTTTCCCAGTACTTGTTAAGGCATTTTTCATAGAAGTCAAAATATTCCTATATGCAGTTTAAATCTCTAATGGGTACTATCATAAAATTGCACATAACAATAACCTTGAAAAGCTTTAAATGCCTGTGTTGGTGCCAAGAAAAAATGGTGCTTAATATACTAAAATATATTAAAATGGATAATCCAGGTACTCTGGGCCAAGGGGAAGGGTTTAAAGTGAAGGATTTATCCCTGAATTCTTAATGACATACTCAAGGACAGTAGCTAGTAGCTACTAGATGGGAAAGTAACAACTAATAAAATTACAGACCAAAGTGCCCTCAAACCCTCAGCTCAGTATCAGATTTGGATTTCTGTTCTTGGGCACGTGCTTGTTTTAGAGATCCAGGTTATCCTGCAGCTTCTTCTCAGAGCTGTGTAGGCAGAGTATTGAGAAGTCAAGGGGCACCTGCCTCATTCCTTGAAGGAGTGTGTCCTCTAAGTTTCTGGGGGCCTAGTCTGGGATGCACATGACTCCCTTGCCCTTCTCTACTCCCAATGAGACAGGACTCTCTTTCCAGTCAGTTCCTCACCACCACATGGTCATCACACTCCTCTGTGTTATACCACCACTCAGAGAAGATGCCTCAGACCAGAGAAAGCATTTATTCCTGAAGAGCCAGAGCTGGTTCTTCTCCAAGGGTTTTAATTTAGAAGCACAGGTCCATACCACATTAGAGACGGAAGTCTACATAAGGCCTCACATCCTGAGGGTTCTGCTTTGGCCAATATCCACTTACATACCATGTGCTCCCTGTTCCCCTAGATACTTCCTGGAGGATGCTTCTCCAACCAAGATAGCAGAGTCTTCATTAAGCTACCCTCATGCAATTGCTCTCAAATTTTGCTCCACTCCAACATGTCAGCTGGATGAGAACATTTGCAACAGAGACAGTCACCCATGATAGCAGTCACTCTCCATGAGGGAAGAGCAGGGATGATCAGTAGATTGAAAATCCCTTTAGTGGATTCTGCCATGTCACTTTTTCCCCTTTTGCCCTTATCACAGAGCTTGGCCATTCATTGCCTTACTGTCAGATATAGAAAATATCACCTAGTTGTGAGCCAGGAGTCTCTATTGCTGCCTCTTCCCTCCCCATGCAACCTTCAGACCATGCCTGCAGGAGTGCCCATGACTACTTACCTGAAAATGTTTACAGCTAGCCTCCTGGCCATGTTTGGCCTGACCTGACCATACCTGATATTTCACTAAAGCTTGGAGAACTCAAAATGGAGCTTTTGGGACTGAAAGAAAGAGAACACATTAAGCATGAGCCTCAAATTTCTAAGCAATAGAAACTTCAAAATACAACTGTGCTAAGGATTCTGAGAATAATGTCTTAAATATGAATTTTTTGAATTTATTGAGTCAAACTACTTGTCCTTAAGCACCTCATCAAATGCTTACTTCAGAAAGAGATACTCAGTAAATATTGACTGATAGGGTGACATTTTATGACGTTTGGCCAGAATCTCTTGTAAATTGCCAAAGTATACATCATCGGCTTCTTACACATGATTTAGAAGAAGATATTGAGCCTTGAATATAATATTTGCAGTGTGTCCTGCCATTATTAAAAAAAATCCCATTACTTTACTGGGTCTCACACCTGCTAAGACAGGAGCAACCACTATTTAGTGAGCATAAGCTATCTATGAAACCCTTAACTTATGACATCTCATGTAATCATCATAATGATCCCACAATACCAGTATTGTTGTGCCCATTTTTATAGAAGAAAAACTGGAGGAGTTAAATGTCTAAGGTCACTTAGCTAATAATACTTAATAGCTCAATAGTTAAGAAGGCTCTACTCCCAAACCCACACTTTTAGCTTCAACTTCTGATGAATTSCCCACAGGACACATAACTGAGCCAAAATTATACGCATTGCATTTAGCCCTGTGCAAATAAGATAGAGAATGAACTCAGGAAAACTAAGCCTAAGGTGATGGGTGGAGGTGTGTGGACATGTTTATATCATTTTATATTTCATTGATACTTTCACTGATAGTAAATCCAGCCCTTTTAACATGATTTTTGCTACAGCAGAAAATCCCATGTCTAGCAGATTGCCGTGGCCTTTCACTGTGGGGTGTCTGGTTGTTTGCCCGTGCTTGTCATCTGTTGTCTGACATGGCAGCAATGTGCCGTTTTTCYCCTAGCTAGTCCATGGATTGGATGACATCTTATCCTACAGTTCCTGTCTTCCCACACTGGAGAATTCTCATTTCTCTTTCCAGAATTAATTTGTTTCTTTCTAACTTGGATTGTATTCATTTTGCACGAGTTCACATCTTGAGCCTCACTGTATGAAACTTCAGAGCCTAAATACCAGATTGCTCCAAAAGTGTTARTATTCAGCTCCTGCTGAACAAGGACATATGGCATGTGCCCTCTCTCCCCAGAGGTATCATGAAAGATTCTTTTAATATTTTCCAGAGGTCCAAGAAAATAAAAGCAAGCTAAGAATGTTGTGAATGGCACACATTGCTTGCGGGTGTGTTCTGCCATATTTCTAGGGATGAATATGTATTAATAAGAGCAACTATATTCTTCCACTGTTAATAATATGCTGTCACAGGCATGATTTTTCTACAACAATGGATACAATAAYGGGGTCACACTGGTCCTGTTTCCTTCTGTGGTCCTGTGCCAGTGAATCAATGCTCTGCTGCTAAGTCCAGTGAGATTTCTGCTTGTGCCCCAGGAATAATTTTTCAAGTGGCCTCAGGGGCTCCCCAGACATGACAAAGGAAGTTAGTGGACTGGTAGTTCAGCTAGGAGAAACATGCTCTATTTTGAAGCTGCTTTGTGGGGCATTTTGAGTCCATTGAGATAAGTCACAGCAAAAGTACTCATAGAAGTCAGACCATGAATAAAGGACTTGCTAGGAAATGCCCTTCATTTCTAATTGCCGTGGCTTTGTGTGGACTAATTACCATGCATGTCAAGAGTAAGAGTAATGCAGTCTCGAGCAAAGATGGTGTCCCAGGTGGCTCTCTGCCCACCTGCACTGCTTGCATTTTTAGTTGACTTTAATATACATATATCTACATATGTGTGTGTGTGTGTGTGTATTTAGTTGTAGGTGGATACAATACCTTTATTTTTTTAATGTGGTGCTGAGGATTGAACCCAGTGCCTCATGCATGCTCAAGCCGAGTACTCTACCATTGAGCCACAACCCCAGCCCTTTAGTGTTTTTTTTTTTAATGAGCTGCATTAAAATCCTTAGTGTTGATGCTTCCAGCTCTCCCTGCTCCATCCATAAACCTAAAGAATTGCACAATAAAACTGATAGTTCTAGAGATGAACATTCGCTGACTGTAACCCACTGGAACAAGCACCCACTTAGAAAAACTACAGAATTTTCAAGAACTATAAGAACTGTGCACCCAGAGTCAGAAGGCATGCCCTTAAGAATGGGGACTGGGAGGACAAGTCAGGTGAAGATGCTTAGACATCTCTGGACCAGCTGTTTATTTTTCTTCCTTCTTTCCTGCCTGAGTATGCTCTGGCACCTGATAACCGTGAGGCTCTTGGTCTCTTGGTCAACTTTGAAAGTGAAAATTCTCTTCCAGCGATGGGATGCTTGGTTCTCTGCTACTGGTAGTTACCTCCTTGCAGAGGAGATGGAGCTCTATGAGGACAAACTTGGTGAACAATTTGTTGACCCATCCTATTGAGGGTGAGATGGTATCTTCCAATCACTCTAGTAACTGCCACCACCTTCTAGAGTTTCCATAAATCAACCAACAAGTGCAGAGCTCTTGGGAATTCAGGACCTGCTGGGCATTTCTGGGCTACAGAGAGACAAAGCACAGCCTGTGTCCTTGGAAACTTAGCCATGTGCAAAGTATTGCTGCGAAATTAAATAAATGCTATGGTAGAGGAGTGCTTGGGAAGCTGTGTTTTCTTTGACACATAAGCTTTTCAACATTTTTCAAAACACAGCGAATAACAAGGAAAACCGCATTAGTCTAGAGTACCGCATGATAGCCAATCCCCTTTTGACAAACATTCTGCTACCCTCCCTAGGTGAGGAGGAAATGGGAGGAAGAATTGCTGTGCTGAACCAGACGACTTTCTTCCAATTGTTTGGAGCATGCACATAAAAAGCTAGCTTCCGTTCAAAATTTGGAAATTTTCAAAATTCAGGAATTTCCTTCCAGTAGTGCAGGTTCTAACCATGGGTCACTCAAACTGGGAAGATGACCTTACTAACTGACAAGGAGAAAAACAAAAATTTCTGCTGCTACTGCCTTTGTTGTGGCAGAGGGGGTTCTGTGAGGTGTCAAGAATAGAATTTCAGGAACAAACAAGCAAATGGCCTGTATTGTCCCCAGCAAGCCAGGTAGTTAGTGTTCTTTTCCAATGGTAGATACCTTGAGGACAAGGAGCAAATCTTGCTCATCTCTGAATCCTCTGTAGATCCGTGCTCGTTGCTGAATAATTGCAGTCTCGGCAGTCCTCAGAGGTCAGGGTCTGAAGGGAAGCAAAGACATTATTTAAGGTTTTCTTTCTTGCCAAGTGCTTTCACTTAAAGGGAGCACTTATGTTTCTGTTCTTATGGTTTACATTAAGTCCTAACACCTGTTTTAAGGCTCGTTTTGCAGACAAGCTACTTTCCTATAAACATGTACTTCTGGGAACTAAGGATTTTATTATATGACTTTGTAGTTCTATCCTCAAGGAATCAAGAGAGAAAAGTTGCAATATTAATCTTGGTGGTCCTCCATGGGACTCATTCTCTGATATAAAATTTGGGTAAATTGAATAGAATGTTTAATCCTATGACAAAAGATATTGGTAGGAAAGCCGCAGGTCCTTTTTCCTTGTAAGCCCTGGGGCCACCTAGCCCATAGTTTCTCTCATTTTCCCTGAAGATGTAGGCTCAGGACAGAGACTGCTGTCTTAGCCTCCTGAGAGCCAATCCACCCACCTTCTCACTGGGGATACTGCTCCTTGCCTATATGGCTATAAAGGAACCTTCCCAGATCCCACACCAGCCCTTGGCCCAGAGTACTTTAACATTTAAAGGAAATGAGGATCCAATGGTAAACTTGACAATTACAAAGCTAAGACACACACACACACACACACACACACACACACACACACACACACACTTCTTACCAATTTTCCTTTTTAGCCCTGCAAAACTCCATCCTTGCTGTTTGGCCCTGCCTGGTATTGCTGGTGGAGATGGAAGCAGAGTATCCAAGTCTAGATTCCTCTGTTATCAAATGAAACTTGTTAAACCAGAGAGGAAATTGCTCATGGATTCTAATCTTGGGTTTACTCTATCATTAATTTTTGTGTGTGTTTGTGTGTGTGATTACGAAAATCAGAATCCAGAAACCTTTAGGCTTCTAGTTTTCCTCTTAAGAAACTCTCAAACTCCTTAGAAGCCTCATAAAAAGAGGCTTCTGAAAAGGACCCTGTGGTCTTATAAGACCTGGGTCTTCCACGGTATGAGGAAGCCCTGAATAGCTGAATAATTTCACTTACACATTTCTGTTTGCTAGCACACTTATAATTTCTAATGTTGTGTTTTACCTCTTTCTGAAGTTCTTCTCCACATTCACCCCATGACTTTGCTGATGGTCTGAAGTCTATGGAGGAAATGTCCAGTATCCAGGGCCCTGTACTCAGCTGAGGCCTGGTTCACATCTTCCTCTATCATAGCCTCTGCTCAGCCATGGCACATTCATTGTTGAAAAATCCACATGGCAACGTGGGAGAGACATCCTTGACCTTCTAAACCCAATCCTTGTGGAATTAAGGCAGTGTGTAATCCCCCTGAACACCCACATCTCTGCAGGAGGACCACCCTCAAGCAAAGGGTTTTACTCCCTCCCATCTRAACCCCAAAGCTCTCTAGTAGAGAGACGGGGCCTCAAAGTAATTATTCTAGTTTTATTCACCAGATACAATCATTACAATTTAATATCTATTCAGTGTTTTCTGCAAGCTAGCACTATTCAGGGGCCTGCTAATGTAGTAGGAGAAGCATTTTTGGAGGTAATAGACATGAATAGTTTCTAAAATGCCCTTGAAAACCATTTTTAACACCTGGCCTCTTAAATTTGTCTGTAGGGAAAAAAAAATCACTTTCTTGCTCTAAGCACGTATCTAGGAAATCACACTTAATTCACCAGACTAAAGATTGTAAAACCCTATTTTACAGTTTTGTTCTTCATCAACCTCATTCTCCTTGCATACAGAATTGCCTTTATCTGTAGGTAAAAAGGTAAGCTTAGTTTTGCACCAGAAATGAAAGCAGAGTGCTTTTGAAGTCATGGTTTATTTGATAGTTAAGCATGCACTTTGTCCTTCAACAATAGCCATGTCCTTAGGTTCTCCACCGTGGTACCTTACAAATGTGGACACACTAGGAACCTAGTCAAAGGTGGCACTATGACTAAACCCTCCCTCCACACCCATCACAGAGGAGGGGCAGTGTTGGTTAGGCTTTAGGGGAAACAGAGACTCCAAGAACTGAGAATCCTAATTTTATGCTCTGGGAAAGWGAGGTAATTGTAATTGTCACTTCCATTTTCTTTCAATGAAATGAGACAGGGGGCCCCAGGGGGCCCAGGAAGCTCCAGGTATAATTGTACCCTTTTCAATACACCTTGAGCATATCATCTCTGAGTTCTCCAGCAGAACTCTCACATAAGCCCTGTCCCTGAACTGAGGTCTAAAGAGACTGATCTACTTCTTGGGAGGCTTCAGAACCCTTGGCCTTGAGTACCATTCAGAAAACTGTCACCAGCCACTGTCATGGATAGAAAACTTCAAGAGAGACTGTGGCAAGAAGGAGGATAGGAACTCATGGCCACTTCCAAAAGAACAGAGGAGAAATTCAGTAGGAGTGTAACATGGCAATAGCAGTGGTCATGTTGTAGTACTAGCAAGCACAGCCACATAAAGAGATYGAGCATATTTTTTGTCCTTAGAATTGGTCAATCCATGAACATTTACAAATTTCTTGATTAAAAAAAGAAGAAGAAGAAAGGAGAGCCTTTCACAACATATGTACACCATGATGCAAGGTTTATGRGGTAAGAAATTAATCCCATGATTCAATTGATTGGAAATTGTTTTATTAAAAAGAAACTTTCTCTTTGCAGGTCAACTGCTAGGGAGTATGCTCTGAAAATTATCAAGAAGAGCAAGTGTCGAGGCAAAGTATGTATAAAGCTTATCATTGTGAAATACAGTGTTTGGACAGAAAGACATGAAAGTTGGCTYCCAAATAAGGGAAGCTTACCCTTAGAGTTGCATTCTGGAGGAATAGAATGTTATATACTTATTTGAATATAACTTTTAAATCTTCCTAGAATAAAGGTTGGTAGGAATGATTGGAAGTTCTTCCGCTCCTTATCTTCATTTGCTTTACTTTCTTCCTTTCCTTTTGTGATCTAAGTTTCATCCAATCCTGTTGTATAAAATTATAGTTGTCATTAGAGGCTCTGAATTTAATCACCTAAAGACCTTTAAGGTCTTTTGGCAATTCTACGCTATAGGAATATCATTTTATTTTACCCAAATACACCTCCCTTGATCCTCAAATAGTATCGTTGTGCTCTTTTGAGTTAGCTCCTCACATGTTTTATGTCTGATGATTAAGATTACTTTTCCCTTGGACAGGAACACATGATCCAGAATGAGGTGTCTATTTTAAGAAGAGTGAAGCATCCCAATATTGTCCTTCTGATTGAGGAGATGGACGTGCCGACTGAGCTTTATCTTGTCATGGAATTAGTAAAGGTGGGTGTTTTGGAAAACAAGCTTCTAATTGAGACATCATACTTTACTACACTGTAGAGTTCTTTCTTTTACTTTCTTTCACCAGTATCCAGTCTTCTATTTCTGTGCATTGGTATAGTGACTATTAATGGGGACTGGAGGTAGCTCAGTGGTAGAGTGTTTGCCTAGTTATATACACACCCCTGGCTTCTATCCCCAGAACCACACACACACACACACAAATTAAATTAAAAAATGCATTTAATAAACTTACTCACTACTTATAAGAAAATGTTCAAGCTGTTACTATAAAGAAAAATGCTCATTCTTTTTAATGAAAGTAAGTTTTTATCACTCAGAGTTGTTTTGTTATTCCGATACGTTGCCCTTTTAAACTTAGTGATTATTTTATAGGTAAAGCCGACTTTCTTTTTCTACTTGAAATTATGACTTGTTTCTGAGGGGTGACACCTTGTTCTTAGTAACGTGAGAATATGGTTATTATTTGAGACTGACAAAATTATTGTCATGTTTGAGACTGAAGATGTCAAAAACATGACAACAGTTTTGTGGTAAAAGTGTTAAAACGTCATCCCAACAAAGAAAGGTTGATTTTACTTATTCAGATATTCACATTGGTACTTTATTATCAAATCATCTTTTTACCAACCTTGAAAATTATACTTTCTGCAGCACCAAGAAGAGTATTTTTACTATGACATTACTCTTTAGAAGAAGAGCTTTGAATCATTTCTCTTGCCCCTCTGTGTGCTGTTAGAAATTGATTAACCCCCTGTTGTTATTGATTAGTTCCCTGTTGTTAGTTGATTTTTGGAGAGCYGAAATTAAATTAAATTTGGAGATGAGAAATAAAGGAGGCAAAGACTCAAGTGTTCAGAACACATTTTGTGGTAGATCTTAGTCTGATTATGTGCTGGTCAGTTGACCACAATAAGGTCTTTATTGCATTTAACCGCTCTTGTAAGTTCTTTCTGCATAATCAACATATCCTAACAGGCCACAGAGGGATCAACATATCCTAACAGGCCACAGAGGGTCTCTAGTCCAGCACGGGATTGCTCAACCATGCCACTAAATTGTACCTTTAGATTTAATCTGACCCAGCACAGCCTTGATGCTAGGTCCGGAAGCTTCCTGGAAAGTGGAGACTAACCTCAGCCTTGCCTTGAAAGACTTCCATAACATCTTCCTGAGAAATCTGGGTAGGGCCATTCTTTCAAACCCTAAGGGTTTATGGTGTGCCAAGAAGTACCTGAATCTATAGAATAAATAAGGCCCATATTCTGGGAAACAGTGAAGTAGCAGTTATTAAGAGTGAAGTTCCATAATTTTCAGGGAAAGGAAAGAACATTCCAGAAAGGGGCCCTAAAGAGGACAGGCTTGGAGTTCAGTGAACTTTCTTTGTTTTGACAACCAGGAAAGAAATGTCCTACTTGGTACATAAGGTAACTGTCCTAAGAAATGGCAGGTGAAGAAAGGAAACAAACTGGAATGCAGGTTGGAGTCAGAACACAGAAAGCCTTTCCTTCAGGATTTGGGCAAGGAGTAGCAATTTTTGATGAGAAAGAAAAAAAATTAGAGTCCTATAGTKTGAGGGAAGGTGACCATGGATATGCAGGATGCTTTAGATAAAGAGCTTATGGAAGGAAGCAGTGTGGTGCAGAGGCCACAGCCCAGTCCAGAGGCAACACAGCAAATGACTCCTTCACTTTGAATCATTAGAGGTGCTGTGGCCCAGAAGGATGTGCATGAGAAATGATTTTTAAAGAAAGGACGAGTAAGATTTGTTGAGAGCTTTGTTGAGGATAAAGACGAAAATCGATGACAGGACGCCTGGAGCCTAGATGGTCAAGACAATCATGGAGTCTTTGCAAGGGGCCACATGCAGCCACATATGTCCTACCTGTGACTCCACAGGTGCCAATCACATGGACCACTGTGAATGTCCTGCCTCTTCGGAAACCACTTGCAAACTGTGTGGCAGCCTTTCTTTTGAGAGAAACAGAAAGTGTGGAGAGAAAACATTAATATTGGGGAAAAAAAAAAAAAAAACTTCTATGCCTCATTTGAGAACCACTGTTGAAAGGACAATGAGAGAAGTTTCCAGAGTGGAGATTATACAAGGGAACAGGGAGTCCAAGCCCAATAGTGAGATCTGAGAATCATCAGCCTACAAAGGCTATATTTTGCTTTTGCTATTTTAAAAAGAAAAATTAAGTCCCTTGCCACATTAAATAACAGATGAATGCAACCGAGTCCTGTGCTCAGCTGTTCTGGTGCATTGTATGCTCGAATGATGCAAACATTTTTAGTAAATCAGATCCAAATTCCCTGAAAGGGTTTCAAACAAATGGAACTTAAATTGAAGCATCACTGTTTTGCCAAGTAGCAATAAATTAGCAAGGAACAAGGGAAATAAAAGTTCAGATGAATAATAGTCCTAGAAAACTTGCTTGGAAATTTCTCCACCCTCCCTCCCCTTTCTCTCTCATCTTTGGAATGATGAGTTCTGGTCCTCCTTCCTATTCTTTACAAAGAAACACACTATTGGAAAAGAAAACACTTCTCTCAACCCAAGGCAGCTAAATCTAGAGAGTCAGGGGTCGGGGGAGAATGTCACAAGGCAGCAGAACGTTTTGTTAAGTGTGTAGTTTGCAGTTTTTCTCATTGGGGGAGGTTTAGGATTATGAGTCTGCTCTTCAGCTGGCAGTTGGTGTGAGGCAGGTAGCACGTGTCACCAGGATATTCACGTGTCACAAGGCCACCGCCTGGGGACCCAGCTTCATCTCCTCCTCCTTGGTGGGGGCTGTGCAAACAGTCGTGTGTCTGTCAGAGTCCTCCCCCTCGCCTGTCTTGAGTTCTGGAGGAAATGTTGCCATCTTTCATTATGAGAGAGAAATCACCATAAAGCCCTTTGAGACGCAAGTGGCAGGGAAAGCCCTTAAGAGCCTAAAGCCCTGCATCCATTCTTCATCTTCTTTATGGTATGTCAGTCTCCTCTGCAGGCAGTCCCATCAGCCCATCTGTTAATGGGCTGCTCCACCTGCTGTTCTCTTCTCAGGGCGGAGACCTTTTTGATGCCATTACTTCCACTAACAAATATACCGAGCGAGATGCCAGTGGGATGCTGTACAACCTGGCCAGCGCCATCAAATACCTGCATAGCCTGAACATCGTGCACCGAGACATCAAGCCAGAGAACCTGCTGGTAAGAGGAATGCCATTTGCAGGGCTCCCTGAGTTCATAGTCCCTGTGAGTGAATAGAATGTTTTCCCCCTTTTTCTTTTGAAAAATTTTACCTTGAAGGCTCATTTCTAGCTAGCCTCAGTTTCTCATGTAAAACCTTCCTTTTAAATGGATCTACAGAGGTAACGTGCCACTAAGAGAGTTCCACTTGTTAGTATTTATTTGCTAAGATAAATAAGAGCCTGAGTCAGAAAGTCTGCAGCTGTAGTTAATATCTTGGGCCAAGATAAGATGGTGACCAGAAGCATTGTCACATATATTTTTTATCTCTAGCACTTTTAGGTAAGAAATTTTTGCCTGGCCAAAAAAAAAAAAAAAAAAGGCCTTTTAGATTTTCTTTTAGTCTGGTAGCTAATGATTTTTTAATGATTTGATCTTAAACCTAAGAGAACTACATCATAAAGGCTTTAAAGACTAACCCCTCAACATAAAAGACAAGCATAAAGAAAACTGATTTAATATAACAAGGGACATTTCCCCCTTTTCCCGCTATTTGGATTGTTTTTCATAGATTCCATATCTATAGGGAAACATTGAGAGTTCTCCAGGTCAGAAAACAAGGGTCCTTTTTTGGCCTAGTTATTAAGGGAACAGTTGAGAAAAAGTAGGGAGGCAGAGACCAGGCAGGGAGAGCTATCATTGGGTAATATGGAAATAGAAAAAAATTACTTTTTTCAGAAAGTTAGTTATTTACATGCACTTTTTATACATTATATGTGATATAGGTACATATATCCTCACCACAAAGATTTTTTTTTTTTTTTTTTTTACTTTCATCACCCATCCTTGAGCATCATGTATATCCGTGATTCCTGTTAGTTTGCCCATCTTTTCAGAAACCCGGGAATTGTGGATTCTCTTTGTGAAGCAGTACTTCTCCAAGGGTGGTCCAAAGGCTCCCTGCATCTGAATTATTCCCAGATGCCTGTTTAAAATGCAAATTTCTTGGCCTCCATAAACCTCTGCCAAATCAGAAATTGGTGTCTGGTGACAGTGTGCAGAAATCCTCACTGCTTCCAGCTCCCCGAGGTGACCTGAAGCACACTCAAGTTTAAAATTAGATGAGCAACTCAAGTTGCACTGCACAACCCAAACCTAGTAAGATCTGCTGCCATGAGAACCCTTGTGTGCTCAGTCTTGTGCCAAGGACTTTACCATCAGTATCTTGTTTTATCCTCGCAGCCACCATGTGGGGTAAATTATACTGTCCCATTTCACAGGTAAGGGAACTGGGTGCCTAAGAGGCTAAATGACCCTCCCAAGGTAATAACAGCCCATAAGTAGAAGAGCCAAGATCTCAACCTAGTTCTGACCTACTCCAAAACCGCTAGACTGCAGTAAGCTATGAGTGAGGAGTTGGAGGGGGGTTAATTGAGTGCTCTTAATGGGCCAGGTACTCTGCCAGGGAACAAGAGAGACAGGCTCCTCCATGAAGTTGACATTCAAGCAGAAAAGATAGGCATTCAAGAAATAAATATGCACATAATTAGTTTTTTGCAATTATGTTGGTAATCTTGCAGCTCCTGGCTAATGAAGGCAGCTGAGGAGGTCAGATCACAGAGCTCTGACTTAATTGTACCTCAAATTCCACATCTCTGCAGCAGCCTAAACATTCTCTTCTGCATAGTTGCTTTCATGAACTGCAGCAATTTTCCCTCATCTGCATTCCTGATTCCTGTGTCCTGAATTATGTAGGATTGTCTCGTGGGAACAGACTTACAAGTGGGTCTTTGTTAAATAATTTCTCTAAGCTCCAAAACATCAGTGATTGAAAAATTAAGGTTTCATTTCCCTTCCCCTCTTTTCTTTGCAGTTCAATTTTGGGCACCCATTGTTTACTTGCTCATCCCCAGAGCATTATCTATTTCTGTAAATGCCTTAAATGATTACATAGCAGTATACTTTTACTAAAATTAAAATTTGCCTGCTGCTTTTGAAGTGTGCTCATTGGAACATAGTTTAAATTACCCAAAAAGAAAAAAAAAATATCTCTATACCCCTCCTCCTTTTCCTTTATTTGCTAATTTAAGAATCTATAACATATAGAGAAACCACTGGATGCCTTCATAATATAGGTTTAAAATATCTATAATATCTGCATGAAAAACTAAGAGATGCTATTCTCCATTAGCGTGATTTCTTACTATGGGAAACAGGGGTTGGTGAATTTGCAGGGATAAATCTAATAGAGGATAAAATAGAACAGAATATGCTTTGAGAAATTAGGATGACATCACTAATTGCACATGAGATCTCTATTAATTGCAAATTCTATCAAACTGCCTGTGGAAATGTGCAAAAGCCATCATGAGAGGCATACTTTTACACAATTAGGATTTATAGTCTGATGGGTAGAAGTTCAAGACCAAGTGCTTTATTCTTCCACGAACMAGTCTCATGACCTTGAACAAGTTGTTTAACTCCTTTGAACCTCCTTTAAGTTGATTTTATGAAGACAAAGAGAATTATAACTGTTAGTTCCCTTCATGTTTATTCTCTATTTCCTTGCAACAAAATTAAATAATCCCTAAAAATAAAACTGCTTCACCATAACATTGCAAATAGTAAAAATCATTTTTTCATCTTTTTTTTGGCATTGCTTTAAAAATTTTACTATTCRCCCATGCAAGGATTTGCTCCCTCATGTCAAAAAGTCGAGATATGGACTATTTTTGAAAAATGCTGTGATAAACTTAATGTAAATACTCTGAATTTATGTGTTTAMTTTAGGGAAACTTACCAAATAAGTAAAAAGACATCGCTGCACATTTTGCTTTACTGTTTCATTATGAAACCTCAAAAATCCTTCTAAACTGTTAGACCTGCTAACAAAATATTTGCTAATTAAGTGGTTGATTAATATTTGTTATATCTACCAAAATRTTTTTTAAATGTCTAATTTAGCTTTATGTAGTATAATTGAGTGTACAAAACTTTTAGCATTTTTAAATTCTCATGGCATAATATAAAATTCATCTTTAAAGGTCAATATTGATTRTATGAATGATTTTTAACCCTTAAGTATTTGGTGAGGTCAAAGTATGTTAATGAGAAAATATCATCTGACTTACAGTGATGTTTCCAGCTATGATTTAGGTGAAAACTGGGAACTGGCCCAATACAAACACCTTTGATAAAGTTACTGCTTTCTTTTCTTTCTTTTTTTTTTTTTTTTTTTTTTTTTGTATCACTGCTAAAGTTGTTCCTCCATGAATCATGCCAATGAATTTTGTGGTTCCTGTTGCTTTCCTTGTTGTCAAGCCTGTTAGCCTGTTACCTAGTGGTCATATGCATGAGTGATAGGTGAATGACAGAGTGAATGCGATGGGCACGTGAGTGAATGAGTGATACTTCCTCACRAAGGAAAGGATAGAGCTGACATGCCAAGTCCAAGACATTTCCCAGCTCATTTGTTACTTGGAGTAGTCACAGCCTTAGGGACAGTGGTTTCTACCACTGCACTTATGCATAAGATCACTCTGCTTATTCACAGGATTGCTGTGTGTGTGTTTGTGCGTGCGCGCGCACACACACACACACACACCATGATAGTTTAGGACTGAAGGAACTTGTTTTACAAACAGCCCAAACTAGGATTTAATGCCTTCAGTTCACAGGAGTCACCACTAGATGGCACACTTGTATCCTTAGCAGCAAATATCCTCAGTAGCACCTAGTGTTTCTTCCAGGGAACTGGGCAGGTCTTTTAAAAAATGTATACACAAACATCTCCTTAGGAAATTTAGTCTTTACTGGCAAAAGTATAACTTCCATCACTATTTTTCATTAGATTGAAGATGTAAATATAGCCATTGTCTTCAAACATAAAAAATGTATATTTAAAACCTTTTCCCTCCCAAACTCTGCTGTAATCTCTAGAAGAAGGGAGTTTCCCAGAGACTCTGTCTCTCTTGGTTAGAAATGTTCTGCTAGAAGCTGTCTGAYGAGCGTTTGTGCCTACCTGCCCCCCAAGCAACATGTACAGCTCATCATTCTTATTTCATTCAATGGATGATTTCTAGCCAGAAGTTCTTCCTGTTAACCCCAAGGAATGATCACAGTTTATCTTGTAACTCTTCTTTAACTCTTCTTAATATCCTTTCATGATGACAACCAAGCTCACGAGATAATGGATTTCTGCCTTAAACCCAAGACTCTTGTCCCCAAATCAATCCATTTCATTGTAGAATAGCTAGCATTGGTAGACAAAGTGAGTGCCTTACATGCAGAATGTCTAGAGGTCATGAACAAAAACACACCTGGGTAGATTTGTCCTCAGCACCCTATACAGTTGTCCCTAAAGATCCATAGGGGATTGGTTCCAGGACTCCCTGTAGATAGTCCCAAATCTGTGAGGCTCAAGTCCCTTATATAAAATGGCGTAATATTTACATAGAACCTACGTACATTCTTTTGTATATTTTAAATCATCTCCAAATGACTTATAATACCTCATACAAAGTAGATGCTATATAAATAGTTGTTATACTGCATTGTTTAGGAAACAGTGATGAGGAAAACTTTTGTACATGTTCAGTACAGATAGTTATTTTTCTCAAATGTTTTTGATCTGCATATTCAGACCCAGATATGAAAGACAAATTATAGTATACACGTGGGCAACCAGAGTGTGTTGATTATGGATTGGTGATTACCCAGAGAAAGAGACAGCAGTCTTCCACAATTGTGTCTCTAGCCCTGCCCTAATCAACTTTGACTCTGTCTTAAATGAAGATGTATGATACCAAATAATGACAGAACTGAGATCCAAGGATACCTTTGGCTTTATAAAGGTTCAAAATCAGTCAGGTGAAATTTCATGAGAAATAAACATAAATCTCTATGAACTCGGTGGTTCTGGCATAGTTGTTTTATTGATAATTACAAAAAAGGAATAATGGGAAAACTTGGCCTGGTTGCAGGTCAGAAGGGCCATGTGTCAACTCTAGTTCACTGTGAGT